ACAGAGTCCAGACCTTAACCCCGTTGAGAATATTTGAGATGTGCTGGAGACGGTTTTGTACAGCGGTCAGACTCTACCATCAGCAATGCAAGATCTTGGTGGGACATTAATGCAACACTGGATGGAATCGCAACAAAGTCACATCGAATGTGTGCAGTAATCAAAGCTAAAGGTGGTCAAAGCTGTGATCTTTTATTTTTTTGGTGATCTTTGGTGGCAACTTCTTTGTCCAGACAGTGTGGTTTGACTAAAGTGCATGGTTGCCTTCAGGAAACAAATCCAGACTTCTAAATTTCCCAGTAATTCACTCATGAATAAACATCCATCCATTTTCAACCGCTTTTCCAGAGTCAGATCACTGGGGCAGCAGCACAAGCCAAGAGGCCCAGGCATCCCTCTCGCCCGCCACTTGGGCCAGTTTCTCTGGGGGAATCCAAAAGCATTCCCTGACCAGCCGAGAGACATAGTCCCCACAGCGCGTCCTGGGTCTTCCCTTGGGTCTCTTTGGACGTGCAATGGAAAAAAAACTCACCAGGGAGGCGTCCAAGAAGCATCCTGACTAGATGCCCAAGCCACCTCAAATGGCTCCTCACGACCTGGAGGAGCAGCGGATCTACTCCGAGCCCCTCCCGGATAACGGAGCTTCTCACCCTATCTCTAAGCGACCCAGCCACCCTGCAGAGAAAACTAATTTCAGCTGTTTGTATACGCGATCTCGTTCTTTCGGTCACTACCCAAAGCTCGTGACCATAGGTGAGGGTAGGAACGTAGATCAACCGGTAAATCGAGAGCTTCGCCTTCTGGCTCAGCTCTCTCTTCACCACGACAGACCGATATAATGCCCACATCACTACAGATGCAGCACCAATCCACCTATCGATCTCATGCTCCATTTTTCCCTTACTCGTGATACTTAAACTCCTCCACTTGAGGCAGGACATCGCCCCGACCCGGAGAAGGCATTCTACCCTTTTCCGATTCAAGACCACGGTCTCAAAGTGAGAAGTTGATTCTCATACCAGCTGCTTCACACTCGGCTTCGAACCGCTGAAGACTGACCAATTGTATTTCAATAAGAACAAGTGTTACATGCTTCTCAGTGAACCTCTGCTTCAACTTTTAATTTGATTTTTCATCTTTTGTAGCTGAGAGCATTTGCTTGTTTCAGTTATTAAGTAGGAAAAAATGAGTGTGAAACTGTATTTTATGATCACAGAATCCCTCTAGGGGCTGTTTAAAACTTGTCATTAACTCAGTTTATTTTGTATTTACTAGCACTGTTTATTTTTGTCTGGGTGCAGCTTACTAGTAGTACTCAAACATGCTAAACATCTGCTCTCTGAGCGCTTCGGATGTTGCTCTCGGGAAGTTTGTGGTGAAGTTAAATAAACCTTCCATTTGCCTACAAATAAGCATCATCAACCAGAAGTTTACTGATCGTTACCGCATTATTTCCCTCCCCGTCTTCCTTTTGTCTTTGCAAACCCACGTTTTTTAAACTGAACACATGTACAGAATTCACAGTGCAGCTAGATTTATTTGTTTCAGAGGCTGAAATAAACAAGTCTGGCGCTGGCGGTCCCCTTTTTGACTTATGATGCATTCCTGCAGCACTATTTCTAAAGATGCTGGAGCAGTTGAGTGCGTTGGCCCCTCACCAAAGCTCCTGGGATCAGCCGCCTTGACCAAACAAGGCTATAGCTTCTGTCAGACTGAGGATAAACACACTCGATGTGTACAGCCAGAGAAAGCACGATGGAAGGAAAGACAGAAGGAAAGTGGAGAAGAGTGATAGCTGAAGGAAGAGTGTTTGGGAGGAGGGTTGACCTCATGACATCTGGTGTTCATTTCTGAATGTCGTGTCAGCCGTTCTGAGACAAAGAGGTTCTAGTTATGGATCATTCATAATCAAGGTATCCCAGGCAGAATCCCCTCTTAATTAGCATGTAGCGTTGATTAACCCCCACCTCCACCCCACACACACACACACACACACATGCCCAAAGAGCTTCTCATGTACTGCTGCTTGTGTCTTACCAAGAAGCGTGACCTCCTGAGTGATGCCGTAGATGTCTATGATGGCCCAGAGTGGACAGCCGATGCTGAGCCCACAGTGGAAGAGGACGGGCTCTCCATCGTTGATGCTGTAGAAAACTCTTCCATGGCGGTCGGCCCAGAATGAAAGAACATTGTCCTTCAGGGCCAGCCTCTCCGGCAGGGCCTTGGCCCAGTATCCAGGCTGTGTTACCAGGTCTGGACAAGCATATTTGGGGATGTCAGAAGCCGCCAGTTCACTGGGATCCAAGCTGGTAAAACCAAAACGTAGAGCTCCACTCCAGCCAGTATGCACGCCAGTCAAGCGTAAGCGCACCTGAATACATGGAATTACATCTTTACCTGTCATCACAATTATCCCTTTCTTTCATTCACAGTTGATGTTTGTGATACAAACCTTTTCATAAAGGTGAACGGGTCGGTGGGTGAATGTGATGCCGTTGCAGAAGCTGTTCTTGCGGGTGGCACGCCGAAAGTGTCCATCCAGCCTGATGTTCTTGCCCTTCGCATATGGATGAAATCGGGGTGAATCCAGGCTGATGTTGACTGGGGGGGCAGATGTTCTTCTTTCTACACCTGCTTCATTATTTGGCATGGTGTAATACTGCCTGTTAGCCACCGGGTGGTGCTGTAGAGTTGCATCTGTGGGCGGGAAAACACCGGGATGGGGGTCAAAGAAAAAAAAATCTCATTAACGACTTGGCTGAGTTGGAGAGGAACATGGTATGTGAAGAGAAGGCCTGGTTTTCATGTGTCCCGGCTATGTTTGTGACAACAGCTGCTGGAAAACATCAGCACACAATAAAGCGCTAGTAAACATCCCGATGGCAGCTGATTCAAAGTCTCAGGCACTTCCCCTGCACGTCAATATTACAAAACAGACAAACACACAAAATAGTCCTGTGTAGCACAAAACAAGACATAAAGTCAAAAGTTTTCACACAGTATCTTAATTCTAGGTGTGCATGGGGCTCATGTTCAGGGCTCACTTCTCTTCATTACATGAAGAGACAAAATAAAGTCTCCACCAGACATGAGCGCATAGTTTACCCTATACACACGCCCGGCCTAAAGCATCAAAAGGCACTGAACAACATCTTTGTTTCCTTCATAAAGTGGAACATGAATCGCACAGGGCCAACTTAGATTGAAAATACCCAAATAAAAAGCTTAATGTTTGATCTCGTCTTCACAGGAGGAGTCAATGTCCTACTCAGGAAAAGAATCTCCCAGATGCAGAAATGAACAAGGATCAGAATCCAAACAAGACCAATCCAAACACGGGCTTTAAAAGGAGACATTTGCATTTCTTGGGTTTTATACAAAATGAACTGAAGCTTTAAACGAGTGTCTGCTGTATAGACTGGCTGAAATTCAAGAACAAGAGTGTCTACTTTCCTCCAGGGCCCCAGAGTGATTACGTTTCTGTTTAAAATTCACAGCGATCTGGTGAAAAGACAATAACTCAGTCAAATGGTGCACAGTACATTTCCTAAATGAGGCATTATCTCTGATTATATTCTAAACCATGGAGTATAAGCAAGACGAACATCTGTAACATCTCAAGTGATGTGCAGGCGCCTCTTCCCACTTTAACACGGGATTTTTTTTTTTCCAGAAAGTAAAATCTACTTTGAATGACTGATTAAAAAAGAACATGCTGGAGTTCAGCTAATACTGCCTTGCTGACAGCACGGCATACAAGGAATCTGCAGTTAAATCCCCCACAGCGCAGCCTGATATAGAAACGTGTTTGCCATTATTAGATGAGAGGAATAGCTCTATGGGTCAAGCAGCAAGGGACAGCCCAGAGCGTGGTTAGGACTTGTGATTCATCCCTGGAATCCAACAAGAAAAAGTATAAAGTAAGAAAATCCAAGCATCATAACTCTAAAACTTTCAGCAGCTCTGCTCCCCGTCTCTCTCCCTCGAGCCATCCGTAACTCTGACTCGCTCTCCTCCTTTAAATCTAGACCCAAAACCCACCTGTTTCAGACTGCAAACTGCTAGTGTCACCTTTTCCATCTTCATTGATTTTATTATCTAGTTTGTATTTTTAGGCTTCTGTGTGTGATTTTTGCAGTTTTTAAACTGTGTTTCTTTGTTGTTATTTTATTGCTGTAAAGTGTCCTTGTGTCCATTGAAGGGTGCTTTTAAATCAAATGCATTATAATAATAATAATAATAATAATAATAATAATTATTATTATTATTATTATTATTATTATTATTATTATTATTATTATTATTATTAAAAACTGTCTTGCTGATACATTTTTGGGTTTAGTTTGTTTGATCACTGTTGGTCGTTGCCACTAACCTTATTGTGGCTGTATTTTTTGTTAGTGTTTGACCAGCGTATCGAAACAGGCTGTGACTGTCAGCAACAAATTTGCAAAAGAGTTTTCCAAAGTCTCTGGGTTTTCACGTAAGTTTGCCAACTTCACACGAGGCAGAGGGTCTCACCTTTCTGCCAATGGACTTCCCAACATCCGAATCAATTATTTTCTAAATAGTCTGTTGTAGCAGGCGTCTGGAACTTATCTCAATTCAGTTTCTGAGTCATGAAGTGTTAGCCTAGTGAACTAAACCAAATTCTTGCTTTGCAAAGTTTGCCGCACGTGATGCCGCACTTGACTCACGGTCTTAAACCTCTTAAAAACTGTTACGACGAACCACTTCAGCTTGATTTCAAGTCTAAGATCTCCTATACTTTTGTGTCTCGTGCTGCTAACCAGCAGCCACAGCCCACTGGGATACTGGTTTTGCGCTCTTTGTTATCCTCTTATCTTCAGCTCATTACTCATACCTGCCCTGCCTCATCACGTGCTTGGTAATCACCCACCCCTGTATGAATACACCTGGTTTCTGCTTCTGTCTCCTAACATGTTACTTGCTGCTCTGTCTTCCCTGGACTCTTCACCTTGGCTTTCTGATATTTTGGTCTTTTATACACTATTATTTAAAAAAACGTATTTGTTTGCAAAACCACTTCCAAACAATTGATTTAGCTTTTGTGTGTATACAAGTTATATGATACTTCTCAACAGTCTGTCTTGGGGCCATTGCTGTTTCTGTTTTACTTGACACCATTTGGTGACCTTGAATCACTTGCCCCCCCCCCCCCCCCCCCCCCCCCCCCCACGCTGTTATGTGTATGACTTACAACTGTACATCCCTACTACAGGGCAGAGCTGTGGGGAGATTAATAACCTGCAGCTTTGTCTTATGGCTGTGAAATGCTGGCTATCTGATAATTTCCTGCTTTTAAATATGGACATGCCAGACATGATGGGTGTAGCACCTAAAAACATGTGCCTCAAACACAAGCCATCACAGTAAAGTTTGAAGAATACATTGTAAAAACCTTTGACAGGCTCAAAGATCTGGGAATGTGGTTTGACTCAACCCTGACATTTGAACTTCACTTAAAAGAAACTGTGAATACTGCTTTCTTTCACGAATTGCTAAAATGTGGTAGATTTTGTCAGGAGTTTTGATGCATGCATTTGTTTCATCCAGATTTGACTAAAATAGTAAATGACCACGGGTCTCAATTATCAAACATTGCGTAGAATCCTTACTAAAACCGTACTTAAGCTCAGCAAAAAAAAAAAGTACTTACGCCAAGTAGGTTTGTGATTATCAAACATGGAGTACACACAGCTGCACGCAATCTCCGCTTCATAAATCTGAGACTAACGAGAAGGTTTCTCAGCTGCATTTTAGTCACATACCGCCCTCACCACGCCCACTTACTGCCAAAAATAGTCAATGCAAAGTGCCTTGTGGATCTCATGCATAAGCCGGCTGTTGCAGCGCTCCGCCAATGACATGGTGACCGTAGATCAAGGCAGATCAAGGAAGCGCTATTTCATAAGCAGAAGTTGAGGTACCTGTGGGTGGGATGGAGAAATGAAAGGAGGTGCTTTTGCAAAACAAATAAGAGAAAATCCACAGAGTGGCACAGTGTTGCTGAAGCCGTCAATGTTGTGAATTCTTCAGAGAGATCTGTGGTGGATATTAAAAAAAAAGGTCCAATTGGGATTCCATCCCAGATTCCAGGGTGAAACTCACACGTGCTAACCAGTCAGCCAAACGAAGATCTCCCTTGTACAAGTAGCCAGGGCGCATGATCAATCGGATCACAGTGACAGGACACACTGCAGGTGTTCTCCATGTCGAAAATATGCGTAAGCGAGGTCCTTAGTCAACTTAAAGTTGCGCACATTTTTCCGCTAAGTTTTCTTTCATAAATTCCAAAGTTTGCGTGGAAAGTTGCTTACGCAATTTTCTGACCCCGTTTTGTGCGTAAGCAAGCTTGATAAATGAGGCCCCTGTATTTGTATAGTGACTTATTAGGGTTGTACAACTCCCCAAGGTGCTATACAGGTCCTTCTAAAAAAAATTGCATATTGTGATGAAGTTCATTATTTTCTGTAATGTACTGATAAACATTAGACTTTCATGTATATTAGATTCATTACACACAACTGAAGTAGTTCAAGCCTTTTATTGCTTCTAATATTGATGATTTTGTCATACAGCTAATGAAAACCCCAAATTACTATCTCAAAAAATTTGCATATCTAAACGAGCTATTAACCTAATCATCTGAATCAACTAATTAACTCTAACACCTGCAAATAATTCCTGAGGCTTTTAAAAACTCCCAGCATGGTTCATTACTCAAAACCGCAATCATGGGTAAGACTGCCGACCTGACTGCTGTCCAGAAGGCCATCATCGACACCCTCAAGCAAGAGGGTAAGACACAGAAAGAAATTTCTGAAAGAATAGGCTGTTCCCAGAGTGCTGTATCAAGGCACCTCAGTGGGAAGTCTGTGGGAAGGAAAAAGTGTGGCAGAAAACGCTGCACAACGGGAAGAGGTGACCGGACCCTGAGGAAGATTGTGGAGAAGGACCGATTCCAGACATTGGGGGACCTGGGGAAGCAGTGGACTGAGACTGGAGTAGAAACATCCAGAGTCACCGTGTACAGGCGTGTGCAGGAAATGGGCTACAGGCGCCGCATTCCCCAGGTCAAGCCACTTTTGAACCAGAAACAGCGGCAGAAGTGCCTGACCTGGGCTACAGAGAAGCAGCACTGGGCTGTTGCTCAGTGGTCCAAAGTACTTTTTTCGGATGAAAGCAAATTTTGTATGTAATTCGTAAATCAAGGTGCCAGAGTCTGGAGGAAGACTGGGCAGAGGGAAATGCCAAAATGCCTGAAGTCCAGTGTCAAGTACCCACAGTCAGTGATGGTCTGGGGTGCCATGTCAGCTGCTGGTGTTGGTCCACTGTTTTTTATCAAGGGCAGGGTCAATGCAGCTAGCTATCAGGAGATTTTGGAGCACTTCATGCTTCCATCTGCTGAAAAGCTTTATGGAGATGAAGATTTCATTTTTCAGAACGACCTGGCACCTGCTCACAGTGCCAAAACCACTAGTAAATGGTTTACTGACCATGGTATTACTGTGCTCAATTGGCCTGCCAACTCTCCTGATCTGAACCCCATAGAGAATCTGTGGGATATTGTGAAGAGAAAGTTGAGAGACGCAAGACCCAACACTCTGGATGAGCTTAAGGCCGCTATCGAAGCATCCTGGCCTCCATAACACCTCAGCAGTGCCACAGGCTAATTTCCCCCATGCCACGCCGCATTGAAGCAGTCATTTCTGAAAAAAAGGATTCCCGACCAAATATTGAGTGCATAACTGAACATAATTATTAGAAGGTTGACTTTTTTTGTATTAAAAACACTTTTCTTTTATTGGTCGGATGAAATATGCTAATTTTTTGAGATAGGAATTTTGGGTTTTCATGAGCTGTATGCCAAAATCATCAATATTAGAAACAATAAAAGGCTTGAACTACTTCAGTTGTGTGTAATGAATCTAATATATATGAAAGTCTAATGTTTATCAGTACATTACAGAATATAATGAACTTTATCACAATATGCTAATTTTTTTAGAAGGACCTGTATTTATATATATATATATATATATATATATATATATATATATATATATATATATATATATATATATATATATATATATATATATATATACATACCTTATATTAGTGTTTCAGCTTTGCTTAACTGTGTATGTCTACATGCATTCTTATTTATTTACACATCATTTTCACCAGCTGTCTATCATTAAACAGTGAATGTCCTTCAACAGAATTGGAATGGAATGGAAAAAGCAGGAAATGCACATGCTGAAAGGTGTTGGTCTCCTTTTCCCTATTACTTCCTTGAAATGTGTTTACTTATACAGGATGTCCTTGAAAATGAGGTTTTTAATCTCAGTGGGAGTTTCCTGGTTAAATAAAGAATAAATAAATAAATGATAAAATGCTGCTAGCTAACATACATTGCTCACCTTCTTGAGGTTCATTGAGTTGTGAGGGGACACCTGCTGATTCTGGTAGGGACAAGGACGACAGCCCATTTACCATAATTAGTTGAAACATAGTTCCTCTTTTTGTGGATATCAAAGCTAGCAAACAGGTTGAATTTAACCACTCACTAACTAAACCCACCTTTCTTTGAGAAAAACTGTGACATACTGATGCCCTCTTCTCCCTGTACTCTTTCTCCTTTCTCTCCTTTTCAGGGACCCAAACTTTGTTTTTCCAGACATAATTGCTGCAGCCTTTGGCGTACTCTGCTGTCTGACTGCTGCGCGAGCTCGCGCCTGGCCTGCGACACAACTCACTGTGCCACTCGGCCAGGAGGATGACTGTACCATTTTATGCCGATACGAACTTGTCAAAATAAAGTAGAGACCCCTGAATAAATATTAATTTCAATAAGATGAAAAAATTGTTTGTTTAATGTCTTGAATTAGAAAAAAATACTGCAAAGTAAAGTACTTGTGATTTTTTTAATTTTTTGGGGTTCCCTGACAGCTGTGGTTAGAATAGCCCTAACCTTCCCGCCTTTACGGCACCCCTGCCTCCGGTAACTGGACAGCCTGCTCTTCTTCCTGAGCTACTGCTGTCCTCTAAATGCATGTTGTTGATGATAATGCGCCTGGAGAAAAAAACTATATTCCGCAGATCAGTTCAAACTTGAGTAATTTTCTGCTTAACAAGCAGTTGCAAAATGAAAAGGTTGTTTACAAGTAATGTATGAATAGTCTTTATAGGGAAAAATACATTTGTCAGCCCATCGAAGCCAACCTCCTCCCTGTAGAGACCAAAGAAATAGCCAGGTGTCTTTTACATAGACTACATGTTCTGATTGTGATTTAATCACATAAAGGTGGTTAGCCACTCTATAACAAGTCCTCCATAACGACACTACAGTTAACAAGTCATTTACACTTTCTGCTCCAGGACTGTCACTTGAGATTAACAGATTGTATGACTGCAGGAATGTTAGGTAGTTTAAAGGCCTTTGAAGCACTGCTGACTGGACACAACCCACGATGAATCACTGTCAACCCCTCACATAAACAGGCGAAGGGCTGATACTAGACCTTTTTAAACTACGGTGTCATCAGCAGAAAAAGAGCCCAGATCTAAAACAACAGACAGATGAGCATCAATTTAGTTTCGTCCATCCATCCATTGTCTGAACCCGCTTTGTCCACGTAGGGTCGCGGGGGGCTGGTGCCTATTTCCAGCGGTCAATGAGCAATCAGGCGGGGTACACCCTGGACAGAGAGCCAGTCAATAGCTGGGCAACACAGAGACACACAGGACAAACAATCACACACACACACTAACACCTAAGGACAATTTAGACAGACCAATTAACCTAACAGTCATGGTTTTGGACTGTGGGAGGAAGCCGGAGTACCCGGAGAGAACCCACGCATGCACAGGGAGAACATGCAAACTCCATGCAGAAAGATCCCAGACTGGGAAGCAAACCCAGGACCTTCTTGCTGCAAGGCAACAGCTCTAACCGCCAATTTAGTTTCATAAAAGTCAGAAACTGGTAATTGAGAGTGAATTACAAATGAGACAAAGATTTAAAATGCTGTCCAAAAGAAACAAATTGAGATAATTTTCATCAGCAGGCACCTGAGTTTACAGCAGCTACCTGTGTCATGGATCAGCGAGTTTTACAGAGAAACAGGCTGGTTGGGTTCCTGGGGAATGATGAGGTGCAAATAAATGCAATCATGAGACCGCACAAGACACAGTGCCATGAGCCTTCTGAAATGGATTTAGAGTTTTGTCAGAGTCATTCTCAGCTGCTGGATCATCTGGTTAGGAACTCGTTCATCTGGGCAGAATGCAGCAGTTTATTCCTGTCTTTGTTGTGTTCTATTAAAGCAACCAGGTTTAAAATCAACAGCTGTATTTTATCACATTCAGCTCCAGATAATGGTAATCACAATAAGCATTTATAATGAAATCTAAATGTCGGAATCTAAATATAAATGTGGTTTTAATCCAAATATTCCACATTTAACCTCTAACCTCTTGCTGTTTAACCTTCCCCTCACCCCCATCCTAACCTTAACCCAGTTTCTAAACTTTGTTAACCGTGTTTGAGAGGGACGTTACAACAAGAAATAAAGCTTTGCAGCGCAAGTGAGTTAAGGTTAGGATGGGGGTGAGGGGAAGGTTACAATTTGGTGAAATCTCCATTTTACCGAGAGTGTTGGAAAGCGACGCTCTGGCACCGCGTGTCGCCTCCCGACGCGTTGGAAACAAACGCTTGGTCACCTATCGTCAGTTTTAGCCACTTCGGGTGAGAGAATGTGTTGAGTTAGCAGGGGGAACCCAGGCTGGAACATTATTGGATGAATCAGACTCAACAGTACCGTCCACGGGCCTTAGACTATCATATCCTTACCCCATTTTTACTATGGTAAGCTGGATTTTCCTGTTGGCTGGAAGTTGTTTAAAACTGCCTCATCTAATATTGTATTATTCATTCTAAATGTTTATTTTGAGTGTGAAGAAAATGATAAATATGGCTGTCATTTTTTTTAATACTCTATGCCTGTTAGCCAAATCTGTGGTGAGATTTTAAAAGCTGAGTGAGCAGTAGAACCAGTACAGTCATTTATAACTTAGGGCCAGAGCCATCATCAGCTGCATTGGTTGGCTGAGTATTTGGTTGGTAACAAGGCCTGTTGGGGGTGTGAGTGTGTGAAAGATGTTAACTCAAAGTGATGTGAGGAACTGATTATCAAGAAATGGGCTCTAGGTGGCATGGCGAAGTGGCTCGGGGTTGAGAGCTCGTAATCATGCAAAAACTGGGGCTGACAATCAAGTCAGACAACTGAATAAATCACTGTAATCACTTCAGACTGTGCTTGATGTAATGATGCCTGGAAAAAAATAGAATCAAAAGATATTTACAACCCTTTGATCAGTTCAGTTCAGAGGTTTGATTTGTTGAGTTGCGACTGTAACAGCACGCTCCTGGGATTAGAATTAAAATGGTACCGATAAATAACCAGATGCTAATAAGCTCTGGATTTGGATTTAGGTTGGGTTCTCAGCATAAGGACCTTTACTCAGGAAATAGTTTAAATACTCATTTTATTACTAACCATGTTGATGAGAATAGTTTAAAATGTTGGTAAGCACACTAGTATTAATTTGGTTCAAATGAATTATTTTTACATCTATCAGTTTCTGCATAAATACAAACAAATGAATGATGTTAGTAGCGAAAAGAAGGCGAAATCAATATTCAAACATTAAAGTGGGAAACTCAACAAGTCATGTCCCTCAAAGTTTGGCAAAAACTCAAAAGTAAACATGTTAAATGTTTGTGACCCAGTGTGTAATCAACATCAACAGAGTCGACTCAGCAGCTTTTAGACGCTTTAATTAACCATCTAATTGATCTTACGAGCAGAAACTGTTCCCTGCGCCTCTTGGGTGATCAGTGACCAGTAAAGCAGCACAAATGACCTAAATTATCCAAACACTTGCACACGTTAAGACCTCAAAAGAGAGGCTTTCTGTAACTGCGGTCATAGTCTATATATAGTTCCCTATCAGTGGTTTGAGTCTTCCTACTGAGCCTCCGGTGTACATCAGAGCGGCGCGTAAAGGGCGCTCTTCCCGGGAATCTCGCTCAGCTCCCCCGCGATGACGAGGAGCGCGTCTCACAACCTGGACCCAGAGCCATGTGCATCAGCTGGCTGCTCCCCCCACAGGAACCCACCCAGTGACAGATAAACCCAACAAGTCTCACCTATCAGAGGTTTGGGTGCCGTATTGCCCATTATACCCAGAGATTCCTCGCGCCGGCTGATGATTTGATGGCGGAACTCCTCTGTCCATCCATGTACCCTCCTGATCAGCTTCTGTTCCAGATGCAGTTTCAGCCCGTGACGTTTCCTCCCAACTGAAGCGTTCAATGTCAGCCCCGAGCCGCTGCGACAGGCACACACCTCCAACTGGTGCACAGCAGCCCCCCACCCTCTTACGCGACTTTAAAGACACAGTAAGCAGAGACCCCCGTACCCCACCCCCCACCACCACCCCACACACACACACACACACACACACACACACACACACACACACACACACACACACACACACACACACACACACACACACAAAATAATCAATTTAACCCCTAATTTACTCAACTCTCTGGGAGCCTGGTGAGTGATAGCTCAAACAGCCTAATCTGAAGGGAGGCAGGGTGCTGAACTTTGAAACGACCTGAGGAAATCAAATCTGAATTTACATACAGGTAACCCTTACAGGAATACAGACCACCTTAAATGAATCAGGTTGTAGAAAAACAGATACGGACTCTACACTTGTGATAAAAGTCACAGCACCATATGAGGAAATCCCCCTTTTTCTCCACCCTCCCACAGCCTTGACTGCTGTTTCCTGTCTTCTGGACCACACCGCTCTCCCGAGAGTCAAGCACGGCCTGCAGGGTTTGAAGGAATGAGAGCAAATCAGTGAAACAGGCTGCAATAATCCCCCGCAGTATCGCCTGAGGTGTCTTCACAACCCTGTGCCAATCAAGCCTGCTCTTGCGGAAATGAAACTGTATAAATATAGTAAAGTGTGCAAACTGTTCCCATGTCTTTAGATGCTGGAAAGGCAGAGCAGGTTCAGATGAAGAGATGGTTTTACAGCTGGCGTGAGTGTGAGCGGCTCTATAGGCAGCAGTGGTGTATGGGTGAAGGCAGATAGATACTAAATATACCTCAAAGACAAAAGCATTTGTTTCCGCCCCCTCTAGGCTGTTTGTTTTGGCAGGATACGCTGGTGTTTGGGAAGAAGAAATGCACGAGTGAAAATCCCCCACACGCTCACCTTATACACTCAGAAAAAAATGCAATGGCAGGGGAATTAACAGAGGAAGTGCATGTGAGGCTGCGATGATGTCGCCAATCAAGCCTTCCCTCTAAACGCAGAGCTGCTTCCCCTGATGCTTGTCCATCTGGAGGAGTGCACAACGGTTCTGGTTTTGAACCTAGGATCAGTTTCAGCGCTATCCAGACTCTCCTGCTCTTCAGCTTTTGGGATCAGCTCAGTTATTGCTACACCATGACCGAATGATCAATCTTTGAGTGTGACGTGAAAAACGTTTAGCTGCTAACACGCTAGATTCCAGTTCAGTTTCCTTAAAACTGACCAAATCATTTTCATTTTAAGATTTTTTTTGTGACAGCCGTCTTTAACTGGCTCGACTAAAAACCATGTGTAAATCTACATGGAACAGCTACTACCTGAGAGACTCGTTAAATCTCTGCTGTGGCTCATGAAACCTGCTAACAAACACAAAACAGAGCATGCTAGTGCTGTTAGCCATGATCGTATGGCTGACAGAGGGTTACACATGTATGGTGGTGGACACACACACAGACACACACGTCTGTGAAAAAGTAATTAAATATAACAGCACTTCAGAACTCATCTGGTGGAAGCAACCATTGATCTCTGACCAGATAAACGTGCTAACGGCTAGTCAGAGCCAGGGAAGTTCCAGAATACGCTGAAACGAGCTCATGCTGGTTCAACCCCCCCATCCTGCACTACACGGCGTGTGGCCATCCTCTGTCAAAGGAGACAAGAAAATATCCACAAGCACGGTCAGTATTTCTTCCAAGCAGTCAAAGACAATAATTAAGTATAAATTCAAAAAACAAACGTTGACCAAAATAAACGCACAAATAAACCAAACAGTAAAATTAGTCTTAAGAATGTTTTAAGGACCTAAAATCAGGGGGCAGTTGGGGGAGCAAGGTGCTACAGCAGGGGGTCAGTCACTGTTTCTGCATCGCTTTGGAACATAAACCAAACAGTGTTACAGTATTTTTTCATCAAAACCACAAGAACGCGATAAGCTGAACAGCTTGATGTAAGAGTCTCTAAAATACTCCACAGAAACTCAGCACAAAGAACCGCGGCATCCACTTCAAATGAAAGTGCAAAATCAATAAGAACAGAGAGAACGAGTGAGAGTTTGGTCGTGGACAGAAATCCAACGGGAGCGGGTTGACTTTGGAAAACAGTTCAGGTTTAGAAAAGTTTTTACTTTTAGTTAATGAACAGGACTGATTTAATGATTTCTAACTGCAGAAATAAAACCACAACAGCGTTTAGTACAACTGGTAAATATCCTTTAGAGACATTTACTAAACTCAATGCAAACAGTGCTTGTGCGCCCCTCCGTGAGCTATAATGCGTTATAAACAGCAGCTGTAATGCAGGAAGCCCCTCCCCTGCAGTGACTAAAGTTATTTCCAGAAAAGGAGGGCAGACATGTCTCAGTTGCTGAAGGAAAGTTGGCCCACAGCGATGTGATGGCTGCCATGCAGAGCAGCAAACTGACTGATCCTTGGACTGCAAAGTGTTGCATTTGCAGTATTTTAATTCTTTTTAAAGATTCAAGAGGCAGAAATGTTGAGCAGATGTCTGCCTGTGGAAGCGGTGGTCTCATTTTCAGAAGAGGGCCTCTCTCCAAGCCTCAGCCGCTGATCCAATGGCTGGAGTGAGTCACCTTCAACGTGAATATCTCCATCAGACACGTGCTGCCTGCACAATGAGCTGCATTCAGGGTCGTCTCCATTGTGAGCAGTTCTCTGCTGCAGCGCATTAACATCTGCTCCCAGTGTGTGCTCCTGTCTCTTCATCAGTCTGACTGGAGTCAAGCACCTGCTTTCAGCCAGGGCCAAGTGCACGCTCTCCCTCTCCACCAAACTTACCCAGATAAAAACCAAAACAGCAGGACTTCGATACTCAAAGCACGGCAGCTTTGGAGTTTAATTGGATGCGTTTTAAGAGGAGTTCTTGCCATGTGCTTGTGCCCACACAGATTGTTCTGATTTTCTAAATCCTCAGATCCAAAGACGCTGTGGTAATCACAAGTAGACAGAATACGTGTGAACGCTTGATTTCTCTTCTGCAATTCTAGACATCAATAAATTCAAAACACAACTAAGCGACTTAACGTGGGAAAACAACGCTCAGCAGCGCTGAACTGTGAGCTTTTTCTCCTTCTCTTTGCGAGGTTTGTGTGTTTAACACTACAGGACATTACTTCTACGTTTCACATATGCTACATGTTCTTTGTGATTATGAAAAAAGAAGTTGTCACGATTTTCATATTATAGAATTAAGTTTAAAAGTCTAAAAGTGTCGCGTTACGAGGTTTGGAGGATCCATAATGCAGTACCCAGGATGACACGAGGCAGGAGATGATGTAAAATCCTTTACTTTTGAAGGATGAAATGAAGAATAAATCCAGGGCAGGAAGCCAAAGTCCAAAAATGTCCAAAATCCAAAATAAACTAGAGAACCAACTGAGACAGGAGAAACACTAGAGACTAGGAACGAGAGACTGAGTCCTAGTCCACACGTAGCCGTTTTTTTTAAACGAATATCTGCCCCTCCAAAAACTTGCATCCACACCACCTCGTTTAAAATAACTGTCCACACGTACCCGGATAAATACGTTGTTAAGGACATGCCAGACCTGTAGGCGGCAGTCCTTCCCCCGTTCTTAACCTCGTCCTTCGTCTGTGGTCTTCCGCAAGGAGCAGTAATTCCGCTTGCAAAAACAAACAAGCAAAAAGCGCTTGGACAATTGATGGATCGGGTAGTGACAGAGCGCAGCTCTGAGGGCATCCATGCTGTCGGCTAGTGTAAACACAGGTCGCACACGTGATGTCAGCATTTTTTAGTCGCGGAAAGTGACGTTGCGGACCTTAAAACTCCGGTTTTGTCCGTCCACACGCAGACACCCAAAACGGAGAAAACGCAGATCTTCACTTTGGCCGGAGTTTTTAAAAAGATACGTTTTCGTGTGAAAAAAACTCCGTTTTCGTGTGGATGACAGGCCAAAATGTAGTAAAATATCTACGTTTTGGCAGATCCCCAGCTACGTGTGGACAGGGCCTGACAGAATTACCACAATGGACCGACACCAAACAGAGACAAGACAGGGTTTAAATACACAGGGAGAAAAATTAAGGAAACAGGAAGCAGGTGTGTGGAGTGAGGGCTGGAGGGAAGGCAGGTGACACAAATGATCTAAATGGGGGAAACAGAACCAATGGAGGGCAGATAGACCTAAACCAAAAACTACACCTAAGACTGAGGGAAGGACTCACACATACACATACTGACACACACAAACTCATATACACATACAATGAACTGGGGAATGGACACGCACACACACACACCCACACAATCACTGAACAGGGGAATGGCCACACACACACCGACCTGAGGACAAAGAGGCTGGAGCCAAAGAACGTGAAGGAAGACCTGGAGGGCTGGGGATTAATGAACGACACAGGACCTGGGAGGAATAGACTTTAAAGGGCTACAAACATAAGACACAAAATTGAGATGCAGACAAAGGACACATGAGGGCGCTATGAGAACAGAAGGGAATCTAGAGAGGATGGAGAAACACCAGGAGGCACATGAAGGAAGGGGCAGAGGCGGCGTTACCATTAGGCAAAGGTAGGCGATTGCCTTGGGCCTCAAAAACTTTAAGGGCCCCATGATGAACACTTAACTAATATGTTTAAGGTATTTTTCGCTCTGAAACGAGTGAACCCTGTCATTGTAAAAAGCATTGTAATGAATTGGTGTGAGACTGCTTTCTGTGAGTGTTTCAATGTCCCCTGTTGCCCAGCTACCATGGACTATTCCATCCACAACGTGTTACGTATCAGCGGAGCTGCGGAAGCGAACAATAGAAGAGGACGTTTGTTGTCTGAGAAGAAAATGAAGCGAAGTTATCCAAGTGGGTCTGAAAAACATAAGAAGCAGGAAGAAAGCAAAAAGTTTGTGTCAACCCTGCCAAAGGTCACAGATTTTTTTACGGTGCTACAGCAGAGTAACACCAATGAAAGTCACAAATTTAATACGGCAAATGAACAAGAAGCTGCCGCTAGCATTAGAGCTAGCAATGCTAACGCTTTAAGCGAAGTGGAGGAGTCTGTTGCTGGAAGCTCAAGGTGCG